ACATAAACAATTACAATATATATTTTTGAAAGCATTGTTACTTTACAGCATTTTTTCACACGTGCCTAAAACCTTTGCACAGTACTCTGTGTGTGTGTTTGTGTGTATGTATGTGTGCGTATACATATATACACACACAAACATACATATTAATATATTAATATATATATTAATATCTCTATCGATTCTATAGACAATATAACAATATTTAGAGAAATTTAATGAAATTACATAATCCTCATGTGATAGTACATACAGAATGAGTCCAGATGTCCTGGAAACTTACCTGTTAATCAGGATTTATATCATGCTCTCTGTTGGAATACCTGAAGAACCAGGTTGGGAACAGACCCTCCTGGAGAAGATCTATCTGTGTGATTGTGAAAAGTTGATACCAACTTGATGGTATATAATCAGGCGTACTCAGATGTCCTTATAAAAAATCCAGTGTAAGAAGAAATGAGCTACAGTTTCCACAGGGCTGATCCTACGCAGATAAAGCAGATTTTCCTACATCCCCATTCAAGTACAGCTGTTGATAACTCATTAAAGTGTGCTAATGACATAACTTTTCTGTTTTTTTGGAATTTCAGTTTGACTTATCCAGCCCCACTTGAACTAACAGGCTGACTATCGAGATAAATCTCTCTTGGCAGACATCTTTGTACTTCTTGCCTCTCTATATCTAAGGCTCTCTAGCTTAGAGAGCTCTTGGGTAACTGGAGTGGAATGATATTCAATATCCTGATAATACTAAACATGTTTCTCTGTAACAGATTCAGATAATGGCTTGTCTTCTTTCAAATGCCAAATGCAGATAGTAATGGATTGGATTAAAGATCTGACTTTAGCAAGACAGAAGTGCTCATTGTAGGAGGAGGGATGCAGTAAACCAGAAGGAGTATTTTATGGTTTGGGGCTGCTTCTAGAGCTAGGTAACTCTCTGCTTTCAAAGGTGGAGGCAACAGCCAGAAGCTTTTTTTTTTTTTTTTTAAATCAGCTTTAGCTGACATACCAATTTTGTTCTTTGTTGGAAGAAAATTGTGCTGCCAACTTTTGTGTGGGTAATACCTTTCATTTGGTACAGAATTCAGCAGGAAGGTTAATCTCTGAAGAACTCAAAGACAACATATAATATCTAGTGTTAAAAATACTGCAGTGCTACATAATACTTTTAAAATTCTAGAAGGCTTTGGTCTGGGTTACCAAAAAGAAATGTCTTCTTGATACGATTTCCCTTCTAGATACTGTGGGTTTATTTGGGATCAAATTTTCAGTGGAGCCACTCCAGATATTTGGAATGTACATCCTACACGATTAGTTGAAGGAATAGACTTCTTTAGTGACTTTGAAAGGGGGCTTTAAAACATTTTAGACAAGCTTTTTATTGTTAATTATTTTAATGGCCAATATTTTGCATTCAGTGTTTTTATTACAAATCACTAAGATATTTCACTAATGTAGAAAGAGTCATCGGTACTCTACATATACCTTAGTTGATGGGATGAAGGCATAGTATGTTGGCATTCAAGTCTCTAAATTAGAAGTCTTAGCTTCCAGTGGAAGTTCATGAACATGGGGTAAAAATGGGTTTGGGTGGCATCTGTGGCATACTGACCAAAATGTGTCAAAGCTGACTGATGCCCTTATTATCAGTAGGGGATGCTGCTGTATGTGGCACAGTTTTGATTGAGAATTAGAACAAATCTATACCTTCTGTATCTTACCAAAAAGCATTACGTGAAAGCCTTAATTGACCAAAGATATATGAGCTGCATTTAATATATGCATCTTAAAATGTAAAGTGTTTGCCTCCTCATAGCAACAGCAGCTGCACAAAGCATGGCTGTCTTCTTGGATATTTCAGATGGCCTTAGTCCAGATGAGGCAGTTTGGGATAAAACCATTTTGCTGGGCAGTAGTTTGAGGATGGAGACCCTCATTTTAAGGAAATCCTAAATACGCAAAATAGTCATTTCTCTGTTTGGTGTGGTACATTAGATACAGAATCAACTCCCTGCTCAGTACACTACTACTGCATTCCCATCAGATAGCCATCCAGCTTCTGTTTAAAAGGGAGTCCTTTACTCCACAAGACAGTCTGTTCTACTCTTGAACAATTCTTACCAATGGGAAATTCTTCCTGATGTCCCATCACAAGCTACAGGTGTGGCTTAACAACCTTAACAACCACAATAGGGACCAGAAAATTTGTCATTAAGTGGGGCGGTCATTAAGTAAGGCATCATATGACCACACCCAATTTTACAACATTGTGGCAGTCGTTAAGTGAATCACCATGGTGGTTAAGTG